TTAAGAAAACGGAGACTTCTGTTAAAAACAAAGAAAAGAATGCTGAACTGTTTTGTAATATCAGTCCTCCTATATGGCAGTGAAGGCTGGACAGTCTCCCCACAGATGAAGAGACTTGAAACAAGAGAAATGTGGTTCTACAGAAGGATGCTGAGAATACCATGGACCGAAAATGTTAGCTATGGCGAATTTCTAGTGAAGATGGTAACAAATAGGACATATTTAACCTCGGGAAGAGAGTAAAATTTTCGGTCTTCCTATATGGCAGTGAAGGCTGGACAGTCTCCTAACAGATGAAGAGACTTCAAACAACAGGATTGTGGTTCTGCAGAAGGATGCTGAGAATACCTTGGACCGAATATGTTAGCCATGGCGAATCTCTAGAGAAGATGGTAACAAATGGTACATATTTAATCTCAGGTAGAGAGTTAAAATTTAATTCCTAAAATTTCAGTTAAAATTTCTAAGGCACATAATGAGAAAAGAGGTCTTGGAAAATTTCATACTGAGAGGACAAATTGAAGACAAGTGTAAAACAATTCATAAGCTACCTAGATTAAATGAAAGGAGGAACAAGGTTTAAGAGAGATAAAAAAAAAAGATAACTTTTATTAAGAGCTACAAAGAACCAAATTGTGGAAAGTCATGAACACCAGCGCCCTGAAGGGGGACACGGCACATAAAAAAAAGAATGAAAACGAAGAAAATAAAAAAAAGTGTTTGAGATTAGGCATTATTTTACATTGTAACCTTTTCCAATGGAGAGAACTGACAAGCTTTGCATGATACTAGAATCAACTAGATACTCCTTCTAATAGAAATCAAAGCCATGATATTATCTGAGAGTTAAGGAGTAGGATGATATCTCTTGAGAATCGTCGTCAGATAGAATTACCAAATTAAAACAAATAAACACGCAATTCGCAAGTGAGCAAAAATTATTGAAGGTATAAAACAATTCTAAAAAGAAAAAAGCCTTACCGATGACATAATCGTAAATTGGATCTGCTCGGTTAACCAATGCCGGTGGAGAGGGACCGATGATCAACATGTAGTAAGCAGCTAGACCCAAAATGACTGTAGCTAAAATGGTTGACAAATGTCTTGTCATCTTAGGTGGGGTCTGCGATGCTGAAATGAAAACGAAAATAATTATCACAAATTGGAAATAATAAAACTGTCATATTGTACATATATTACCATCGATAAAATCAGAAAAGTATTTTCAACAATAGATACAAAGGGCTGAGGCGGTTAGTTTTTTCTTCCTTTTTATTACCTATAATGCAACACCAAGAACAGTAAATGACTAGTTTAGGGCCGAAAAAATGATCAAACGAAACAATACTGAAGCTGAAGTAAATCTTCTGACAATAAAAAGTATAATATTTAATCAAAAAAAAAATAATTGAATGTTGATAATAATATCATTAACAAGTTTGGAAGCACAAAGAAAGAATCTGTATGTAAATATAAAATATATATTTAATAAAAATGATAGCTTTAAAGTTTGGATTTTCCACGACAAAGTAACGATGGCGTGATAATGAGAAAAAATGTAGTTAGAAAAAAAAGAAAAACTTCGCATGAAAAGATTTTGAAAAGAAACAAAAAATTTGATGCTAATAATTTATTTATAAATGCTCTTGAACATGAGGTATGTTTTCTGATGGGAAATTAATATTTACTGGAATCATTTTTTTAAACATATCACCCCCAAAAAGGCGGGGGTGCCACTAGTATACAAGGTGTTACAGAGAGTGAGATCAAGAGTAAAGAGGGGTGTTTGGGGAAAGGATAAAGAGAAGGACGGGGATCAAGATCAAGGCATCAGATGTCGATTGATATTACATTTGAATATTTGAAGATTATAGCCATCAGGGAGGCAAGTATGAGGAATGGAGTGCCACAGTCGAGAAGTGCGAGATAAGAAGCTGTTGGAGTAGAAGAGACGGCAACTTTTAACCGTTTTGACAATGAAAGGGTGTGACCGAGATGCCAACCTAGTAGCACGCTTAAATTTATGAAGTTTGGTAACCAATGAAAGTAGCTCGTCAGAGCAGTTGCCATGAAAATACTTGTAGAAAAGACAGAGGGAAACTATAGTACATCTGTGAGAAAAGTGTCTGTAGTCGAGATGCCAGATCAGGGCCTATCACATTGCGTATCCATCTCTGGATTTTGTCGAGATGAACAGCGGAGGCAGCAGACCAGATATGGCAGCAGCATTCAATGCAAGGACAAATGGTTGATTTGTAGATTTGAAGGAGGAAGTCTGAGTGAAACGTTACAAAAGTGATTCAATCAAAGGAATTTAATATAAAAAGTCAGATAGACAATCGTTTTGGTCAGTGTTGAAACGATTAAAATTTAAAGAAATTATTAAATAATATAAAGCACAATTAATTTTCTATTTTCTTTTGGAAAAATCGATCCTCAAAACCTGGTAGTATTCTTTATTATGCGAATGATATTGAAAGGTTTTTTTTTTATCTAGGATAAATATTAACGTAATTATGTGTCGGACTAAATTACACTTAGTACACGTCAAAATCAGTGTAATTAAAATGGCGTTGAGTACCTAACATGGAACACCGAATTTGAAGTATAAGAATTTAATTGTAATGTTAAAACATTAGTTTCAAATCTCCATTTTTAAATTAGGTATCAGACGTTTGTCCTCCTATACAGCAGCGAATGTTGGACGGTCTCCTCTAAGATGAAGAGACTCGATGCAACTGAAATATTGTTCTACAAAAGGATGCTGAAAATATCATGGACCATGCGAGTGATCAACGATGAGGTTTTAGAGAGGATGCAAACAAAGAGGAAGCTTATGCTTAACATCAAGAAGAGGCAGATGAAATTTCTGAGGCATGTAATGAGAAAAGAGGGCGTGGAGAATCTGATACTCACAGGTCGAATAGAACGAAAGAGAGACAAGGAAAAGCAACGCATGATATACCTGGCAGACTTAAGCAAATGGATGACAGAACGTGGTCTGGAGGAGGTGACAGCGGTACAAAACTACAAGGGATAGAGGGAAGTGGAGAGCCATGATCGACCACGTCCTGAAAGGACACGGCACATAAAAAAAGAAGCAGGCGCCGAAACTCAGAGTTATATCCGATAATAAAGGCAACATTTGAAAATGGTATGCGATATTTCATGAACAAATTTACATGCACACAAGGATGAATGTATCGATTAGTTATTGATTTTTTATTGTATCGCAAAAGATATTTAAGTCTATCTATTTATCTATAGTTGTTTCTTTTCTAATAATTTTATTTATCTATGGAAATATCTGCGCATTCGACAGTTCTCTCATATAAGACGATGGAGTCTATATTTCAATCAATGTTGCCGCCTAAGTCATGTATCTTTCGATACATGACTTACGAGGCAGAGTTTTTCCCGCAGTAGGTTGCCATTTCTTCCTTCGGTAGACCAATTGCCATCAAAGGCTATAGAACCCGGTCTGTCCTGCTATTTACCCATAGCCGGGATGGGGGAGAAGAGGATTCATGCCTTTCCTAAGAGTATTAGCACGTAAGTGAATGTAATGGAATTCGAACTCGGCTCTCCGATTCCGCAATCCGAGCGGCTATCCATTACTCCACCGTATGACTTCTTACTGTACGGGTATTTTGAAAGTATATTCAGGATACATACTTATCGTGTGAATGATAATTTCCAGAACAATGTTCGTTTAAAAGGCATTAACGTTACTCTAGAAATTATTTCAGTATCCATTAAACATTTTAGAAGAGCAAATCTCTTCTTTTTCCTTTAACTGACAACTGTTTTACCGAAACAAAAGGAAAAAAGCTGGACAAGGTAGTGCGAGACGGGAGGATTTCTTTGCTAACAAAGAAAAGAGTACTGCGCTGTTATGTGACATATATCCTTCTTTACGGCTGGGAATGTTGGACGGTCTCCTCAAAGATGAAAATGAGACTCGAGGCTACGGAGATATGGTTCTACAGAAGGATGCTAAGGATATAATAGACCGAGCGTGTGAGGAACGATGAGGTCTTGGAGAGGATGCAAATAAGGAGGAGGCTTATGCTTAGCATCAGGAAGAGGTAGCTGAAGTTTTTGGGACAAGTAATGAGAAAGGAGGGCGAGGAGAATCTGATACTCACAGGTCAAATAGAAGGAAAGAGAGACAAGGGAAAGCAACGCATGACACACCTGCGGATGACAGAACGTGGTCTGGAAGAGGTGGCAGAAAGACCGAACCTGTTAGCAACGACGAAGTTCTAGAGAAAATGCAATCAAATAGGACATATTTAACCTCAGGAATTTAGTTAAAATTTCTAAACCACATAATGAGAAAAGGGGGCTCGGAAAATTTCATACTCAAAGGACAGATTGAAGACAAGAGGAAAACAATGCATAACCTACCTAGCGAGCTTGAGTAAATGAATGGAGGAACAAGGTTTAGGAGATATAACAAAGATAATATTTATTAAGAGCTACAAAGAACGAAATTGTGGAAAGTTATGATTGCCTACGTCTTGAAAGGACATGTCACATAAAGAAAAGATGGAATATTATCGCCATATCGGCAATATGAAGTGGAAAAAGGGAAATCTGACAAAGACATGTTTGAGAAACTGTTTCAGAAGATCGTTTTATAAAAACTACTACTGTACTGTACTGATGCGGCATTCACCCTGGGCGGATTGAGCCGGCTTCTTCCTGTTATGAGAAGAAGATTCTTGGGATAAATTACAGAAGTAGGGTACCCAGGCCTACTCGGATAACGTTCTTGCTTGCCGCGGGGTTCCCACAGACGCAGAGACAGGAACGACCAGAAGCCGCCGGTTACCGATACAGACGCTCCTTGGATTTTCACCAGAGCCCTTGTTAGCCGGCATGTGTCAGACCTGTCCGCCTTGGTGGCCCTACCAGGAACGAAGTTCCGGGCGGCATAGCTCTGACACTATCGTTTACCCCCCCACCGACTGTGAGGTAAGGGTTGGACTTTGGGGGCTTACAGTACCAGGTGTTCCCAAGCGGTCCCCCATCTAAGTACTGACCTGGCTCTACGCTGCTTAACTTCGGTGATCGTACGAGTTTACGTAGTTTACGGTCAAATCACGCTGTTTTATAAAAACAATATGACATGAATGTTTTCGATCGTGCTATTTAAACTAAATCGACCCGAGCGGCTATTCTTACCAGTTTCATCTGCATTGGTTCAACAGAAATTGAATATCGAACCAAATATGATAAGAGAATTTTTGGGAACAATTATTTTCAAAATAAGGGGACATTTCTTTGTGCCCCTTCGTTTTCCTTTCTTCGCAAATGTTCTCCCGTACAATCAAATCTATCATTTGACAGAAAAACCTTGGTAAAAAATATTTAGATTTGGGTTATGAACACCTGTTGTTTAAAGAATTGTGAAATGTCTGAATTGTAATTCAACGAGTTTTTTCTTTGAATATCAAGAAATATTACTTGCATTATTTACATTATTCGGACTGTTATCCTCATTGTCATTGCCATATTCACAACTTTTCGGTTGTTGTACGCTCCGGTCTTCTTCAGGCGATTAGAATTTCTGAGAATTTTGTCAACGACCGATACATGAAAATATACGCAGGTGGAAAGAAAAATGAAAGAGGAGTAGGACTCGTACTAGACCAATGCATGAAGAAATGTTTAGAAACAAAGAAATTAATGATGCCATATCAATCGTACTATATGAGAGTGAATGCTGGACAATTTCTTCACATACGAAGAGGAGACAATACTATGAACATGCGAGTAACGAGGAAATGTTAAAGGAAAATAGAAACAAAAAATCAAATAGAGAAATTAGAAATTTATGCTACACATCATGAGGAAAGGTGGCTTGGAGAATTTGGCATTCACAGGACATATTGAAAGCAAGGAGGACAGAAGGAAACAAGACACCCTTCCTAAAGAACTTGTATAAATGGATGCTACAACAAGGAGTGGGAGGTAAAGTAAAAAGAAAAAAATTGCTTAGGGTTACGAAGGGTAGGAAGTTGTTGTGAGCCATGACTACCCACCTCATGAACAGACACAGTGCGTAAAAAGAAGAAAATTGATAATTTGTCTCAGGAAGATATTTTTCTGAACTTTGCAAAATCACAGTCGAGCGACAGGCAAACTTAATTCTCCTTTGCCAAAATTTTTCATTTTGTATTGTTTTCTTATTTCTGATAACTTTTATAACTTTTTCAAAAATAAGTTTCTTTCCTTCTGCTCACGGATAATTAATTAAAAAAAATCAAGCAAGGAACTATCTTTAAAAAAAATCAATAAAATTAACACAGAAACGACTAAAGTAGGAAGGTTTCCCTTCATTACTAAATGGCACATTTTTCTTTCTTTATTTTAGCTTTCAAAACTATTTTTCTTGAAACAAAGTGTATGTGCGTAGTAAAAATAGACAACCTGGTTGAATTGATTGGTGCAATCGAAAACTTTCTGGGATCATTATTATTTTCTTTTTTTTTTTTTTTTTTTATTATACAAGCTATGTCGTAAAACATTTCCAGGCACGTTTATGATTCTTTCGGGATGTATTTCCGAGGTGGAATCGAAATCGTTTTTTCTGTCATAAATGATGGCATAAATAAAGTTTTATTAGATTGCAACAATTATTTGAATTTCCGGAGAATTTTAAATTGCGGCTGTATCAAGCGTTCAATTTATATTTAGATTATTTTTCCTGTTAAATTTTTGAAAATACTTTTCCTGGCAAAAAATATGGAATCACCACACAAAAATATGGAATCACCACACAAAAATATGGAATCACCACACAAAAATATGGAATCACCACACAGAGGATAACCATAAAACTTTGCTTTTTTATTTCATAGAAAAATGAAGAAATCGCAAAGAATTTTTTGAACAGCTGAACATTCTACTTCGTGAAATAATTTTAAAAACTGTAATGCAATTAATTAATGGGATTTTTTTCGGATGAAATATGGGATTATCAACAAAATAAGAAACAGGATTTTATTGCCCGCCTTTGGATTTTTGTGACGATCTTTGAGTAATTTCAATGAAGAGAACAACATTCTTCATCAAAGTGGCTCCAACTTATTGGAATTGTGGTTGACAAAACAAACTTAACGGGAAGGGGGCTTTCATGGACCATTTTTGTGTTATTTCCACCACAGATTTTCAATATGATTGAGATCCAGATACTTTTGTAGTTATTGAATTGAACTTAACTAATTAGACTTGCCTGAAGAAAAGATTTAACCCTTTTTGTGGCAAAGAGAAGTGACTTCAGCATCACCAAGTCTATTGCTGGAACGAGAAAACTGTATAAAATTTCAATTAATGCCGGTCCATTTAGTTTTCAGGTAATTATGGCCATCTTTTGATGGTAATAATTACCTGAAAAATTAATAGTAATAGGTAAAATAATTACCTGAATAATTAATAATAATAGGTAAAATAATTACCTGAATAACTTTTAATTAACACCATATCATAAATGTGAAAATAAATTTTGTTTTCTTCAAGCCTTCATCTTCATTTATGATTTCATTAGAATGTCAACATATAAAAGTTTACCATATCGGCCAATGCAAATTTGTAAATATTCACAGAATATAACTTTCATCCAGTTAGCCACAATATGATTGCCTTTTTGTAGCCCACTGTAACCACCTTTCTGGATATCAATTTCATTTCATTCAATACTTGTCTGTCACAAATACTGAGTTATGTTTCTGTCCATTTTGTTTTTCATTTATTTTGTTGTGGATTTTCAATGCATATTCAATTCAGTTTTCTATCTTGACACTTTGACGTCTTCCGTGATCTATTCGTATGTTTTATTTTTTGTAACATTTCCTTTTTGTTTCAAGCACAGATGATTGGGAACAATGAACATCGGACACGCACCATGTTGAATTTCTTTATAATCGTTTTCATTGTTTCAACTGACACCGCTTTTGTTGGAGCCATTTTGGTATTTACGCATCTCCTTCTAGTGACAGAATGTGACACCAGGTCGGTTTAACGTACAAATGAACCAGGGGAAAAATTGTCTAGTCTCCACAGGTATAATTATCACAAAGCCAGCATTTATTAGGGTGAAAAACAATTGGAAAATACCAGAATATTTCCCGGTGGCTGCGAAGATATGGAATATGAAGGTTAGGATTGTGTCCGTCTTGGTTGGAGGGCATGGAATCGTAGAAAAACGCTAGAAAAGAGACTAGATGATTAAGATATTCGATCAATAGTAGGACTGTCTTAACTTACTGATGTATGCAAAGGAGATTTAAAGAGACATTGCTTCAAGATCCCCGGTGATAACCACCAAATATCTGCTGTGAACATACAAATACAAATAATGGTACATTGGTAGGATTATGGGAAATAAAGACGACGACAACGACTAAATAAATAAAAAAAATATCAAATAAATGTTTGTGTGATAAAAAGAGGATGAAAATGTAAGAAAAGAAGGACAAGGAACTAACCGTAAATAGCAGCGCAACTTAAACATCGAACAGCTTTTAATCATATTAAAAATAATGAGAAGCAACTTCTACATAATGTTGACAATCAATCATTGGATTAATGGAGTTTAAATTAATCCAGTGGCAAAATTACAGAATGTTCAAAAGTAAAGATTAACAAATCAGTGCGGATATTTCTAGCTAAATCCATGGAAACCTGGGAAAGAAACTTGAGTGGTAAAAGAGAATCATTAGAAGAAGATCAGTGAAACAAAGAAATTCTGCAACCATAATTTGAAATGTTGATCAATAATGTTAAAAATTATAGTGTCGTTATCGGAATGGAATGAAAGATAAGGAAATTAACCTTATTAGTAATGCTCATGGAAACAGCTTTTAAAAACAGATGAAACCAACATTCGGACATTCGAATAGGATTCAATAAAGGAGGAGGAAATGAAAGACAAAATAAAAAAAAAGAATATATTATGGGGATAAGAAAAATATTGAAACTGAGATAAATATTTGTTATACCGTACCTATGAACACTAATGGGTATGAGCCCAATTCTCATACATACATTAGACACTATTGTATGTTGAGGTAATATGCTGTCTAAGTATTCCACTACTAGCAGTGGTTTACCTACTTCACGGCACTGGCGAGTATTGTATTTTGTTGATGTTATAAAGATTACCATTTCATTGCCAACCTCCGTTTTGGTTATTCCTCATTCAGTAAACCTTACTAGGTTGCAACAGATAGATAGATAGATAGATAGATAGATAGATAGATAGATAGATAGATAGATAGATAGATAGAACTGGAACAGAAATAGTGTTATATACCGTAGCTATGAACTCTAATGTGTATGTCCCAATCCTCATAAATACGTTGGACACTATTGTAAGTGGGGGACAATATGCTAAGTAGTCCAACACTAACAGTGGTTTACCTACTTCACGCCGTTGGCGAGTATAGTATTTTGTTGATGTTATAAAGATTACCATTTAATTTCCAATCTCTGTTTCGGTTATTCTTTATTCAGTAACCCTTCCTAGGTTACAACAATATTAGAAAGTGGATAAAAGATATGGGCAGTATGAGGTAGAAAGAATTATTGTTTTTTCGCTAGACTAAGGAAGAACCCATATTAAAGAATCTTCAGGCAAAGAAACATAATCACGCACAAGGCACTACGCCTCAAAGACGATAGTAACAGGTTATATGTAAAAAGGAAAGAAAGTAGTAGAAGACACATCAGCAAACTGTGAGGTAACAGTGTAAATTGTATTAGAAAAATACGTACAAAAATGCAGCGAAATGGATTAAGAAATAAAAACAATAGCAAATGAGGAAGTAGTGAAAAATGCAGTAAGGAAAGAAAAACACTGCACAGAGAATTTAAAAGGCAAATAGAAAATATCACGGACAAGCAATTGCGTACGTGAATACGCGGAGGCCATCTGAAGAGAGAAACAGAATCTGCAAGTGCAGCAAGATTACATTAAAGTGAAAAGTAACAGTAAAAGCCGACTCAGTGGAGAAAGAGGTGAAATAAAATATATAATTAATAAATGTTGGAAACAGGTTCAGAAAAAGTAGGAAGAATCATACACAGGGA